TCAAATTCTGCTAAGTACGCGAGGTTGCGAACATTTGCCAAAAATAGATAGATAGATAGATAGATAGATAGATAGATAGATAGATAGATAGATAGGGGATGTTGTAGACATGATTTGGTAATAGCAGCCATAGATATTATGAGAGATAATATTCAATTTTAAACTAAAATATATTGGTATTATTAGAATAAGGCTTGGAAAGAAAAAGCATGCGATATTAATGATTAAATATCAGTATATCTGACAGACAGACAGACAGACAGACAGATAGATAGATAGATAGATAGATAGATAGATAATGAAATATTGATATATAAATCAAGAGATAAGAGAACTTTAGTTGCAGAGAGGTAAAAGGATTATGATAGATAGATAATGACTAGGCAGACATAGATATAGGCACTCTGCGATAGATAGTGAGACATAGAGTATAGATAGATAGATAGATAGATAGATAGATAGATAGATAGATAGATAGATAGATATAAACAGACTGAGATAGATAGATAGATAGATATAGATAGATAGATAGATAGATAGATACATAATGAACAGATTGAGATAGATAGACAGATAGATATGAACAGATTGAGATAGATAGATAGATATGAACAGATTGAGATAGATAGATAGATATGAACAGGCTGAGATAGATAGATAGATAGATATGAACAGGCTGAGATAGATAGATAGATAGATAGATAGATAGATAGATAGATAGATAGATAGATAATGAACAGATTGAGATAGATAGATAGATAGATAGATAGATAGATAGATAGATAGATAGATAGATAGATAGATATGAACAGACTGAGATAGATAGATAGATAGATAGATAGATAGATAGATAGATAGATAGATAGATACAAACATAGAGGATGTTACAAAAATATAGTCACGATTTCTTAATGGCAACCATTGATATTATCCGAGATAATCGTTTTTGGAATAAAACCCATGGGATTGTTAGAATATGGTTTAGAAAGAAAAACCATGCGGTATTAATGTTTAAATAACCGTTTGTTTGAAGTGTTCAAAATCTTGAGAAAATGAATCTTACAAATTTGTTCAAATGAGTTTAGCGATATATTTTTACACATTAATTTTTTTTAAATGGAAATAACACATATGTTCATTACGGCATTTGTCCATTACGATTTAGTCAGATAATACCCACAGCTACCATTAAACATTTATCTTTAGTTGAATAAATCTATCTATCTATCTATCTATCTATCTATCTATCTATCTATCTATCTCTCTATCTATCTATCTATCTATCTATCTATCTATCTTAATTTGTTAATATCTAAATATATTTGTATGTAATGACTTCAGTCAGTTTTATCTATCTATCTATCTATCTATCTATCTATCTATCTATCTATCTCAGTCTGTTTCTATGTATCTCGGTCTGTTTTCTCTCTCTCTCTCTCTCTATCTATCTATCTATCTATCTATCTATCTATCTATCTATCTATCTCTGTTCTATCAGTCTGTTTCTATCTATCTCAGCCTGTTTTTCTCTCTCTATCAATATATCTCAGTTTGTTTCTATCTATCTATCTATCTATCTATCTATCTATCTATATATCTCTGTTCTCTCAGTCTGTTTTTATCTATCTCAGTCTGTTTCTCTCTCTCTCTCTCTCTCTCTCTATATATATATATATATATATATATATATATATATATATATATATATATATATATATATCTCAGTCTGTTTCTATCTATCTATCTATGTTAAATTTGTCCAGAGTTGAGAAATCGGAGAGCTGAGTTCGAATTCCAGTCGATTTCGTCATTACATTCACTTACGCACAAATACTCTTGGGAGAATTATTTATCTCTTCCCTCTCACCAGCTATGGAAAAATCATTATTATTCAAAAAAAAAAAAAAAAGAAAAAGAAAAAGAAAATGTTAATGTAATATTCACTCGCAAAAAAAAAACCTCTTACAATCCAAAATAGGCTTCAGCTTTAAATAACACACAAAGAATCGATTAACTGTCAACAACAACAAATACAAAAAAATTCAAAATTCTTTTAAATATCTTTTGATATTTGATGATTTGTATTAAGCTTGTCCATTTATGATTATAATGGTTATAGATATAGTTTTCACTTAATAATAACATCGTCTAAAAACTGAAATTAATACAAAGTTTTAAAATATTTAAAACTTTATAACTTTATATTTAAAATTTAATAAAAATGAAAACAATTCTTTTAAAAATTAATTCTTCATCGAATTTTTTTTCTTAAGACAAATAGTGTCCTTGATATATCTTATTTATAAAATCAGTTAAAAGTTTTTCTAATTAAATAATGTCATATTTTTATTACATTTTTATTATATGATTCAGAGCAGATTTTCCGTAAATTGTGTTTTTGTTTGACAAAATCAAATTGAGGATTTAATTTTCCAAAATTCCTTCTTTTAACTAATATAAATAAGAAGTGGAGGGTGGAATTAAGTAAGTGGAAGTAACA